AGTTGCTATCTTTAGTGTAAATAGGGACAATAAGGGGTTGGAGTGATGGCTCAGTGGTTAAGAACACCAGCTGCTCTTGTAGAAGACCTGGGGTTGGTTCCTAGCACTGACATGGTAACTCCAGTTCCAGGGGATCCGAGGCCCTCTTCTGACCTCTGAGGGCATTGCCTGACACATACATGCAGGCAATACACTCATATGCATAAAATAAAAGTAATTTTTTTTAAAAAAGGAAGGGACAATTAAAAAGTAGTTGCTTATTTTTTAAAACAACAAAAAAACATGGTGGCTATCAGGAACTGATGAAACTGTTACCTACAAGGAAGGACAAGGCAGGACTGCCATTTTAGAATATGAATTTAGAACCCATTAATTCATAACTAACATTAAATATTAGCAATAGCTGGCCTGGAACACATTATGTAGATGTAGACCAGTCTAGCCTCAATCTCAAGAGATCTACCTGTCTCCGCCTCCCGAGAGTCAGATCACAGGTGTGGCTGTGATGTACACTTTTAATCTCAGCACTTAGGAGGCAGAGGCAAGTGTAGCTCTGTGACTTGGAGGCTAGACTGGTCTATGTAGGGAGCTCTGAGTCAGCAGCCAGAGCTATATAGTGAGACCTTCACTGTCTTCCCCTTGCTGTCCTCCCACCCCCACAAATTTAGCATGATGAAAAGGAAATTAAAATGAAATTCAAACACAATAAATGAACTGCTAACATTTCAAGTGAACAATACAGCAAAACAATAAGAACTAATCAAGCACCTAGGGGACAACACACTGCAATTTCAGTGTGAATATAAAGAACAGCACACAATTCAGGACTATTAGAACAGATAGTTTGAGTATGGCAGTTTTGAAGTTATTTTTTGTATTACAGAATTTATCAAGTAAAGATAAACTGATGCTGCTGGATCCAGGAGGGAAGGAATGAGACAAACAGACTAGAACCCTATGGCACTTGATGGAGTTAAAAGGCAGCAATATGAAGCAGGTGTTGTGGCACATGCCTTTGGTCCCAGTACTCGTGAGGCAGAGGCAGGCGGATCTCTGTGAGTTCAAGGCCAGCCTGATCTACATAGTGTGTTCCAGGACAGCCGGGGCTACAGGGAGACCCTGTCTTGTCAGATGCTAAAAGGGCCCAATGACACCCCACAAGCATTGATCACACCTACCAAAGCATGGCCAGTGCCTTCACATTGTGCTTCCTGGGTCCCTGTGTGTCAGCTGCAGCCTGCCTCTCTAGGTGATGCCTGCTTGGCTCCCTGCTTCACTCACCAGTATCTGCTACTGGTGCCCAGCACAGGGCCACAGACTCCCTTATGAAACAGTAATGTTAGCAATAATGAGAATGAGAAATAAAGGAAAGGAAAGGGAGACAAAGATGACCTGAGGGTACTGTAGTTTCCTGCAGCCCTGGGAAAGGTGGAGGAGCCTCAGAGTCCGTCAGTCAGCAAGCAGAGCTCCAAGGAAGCAAAGAAGGTGGCTGACAGAACCATGTTGGCAGTTCCTGTCTTCAGGCAAGGAACTCCCCCAGGGGAAGGAAGAGAAGGTATTGGTGAGATGACCAAGAAGGTATTCCACCTCCAAGTTCAGCTGAATAATAAGGAATAAAACAGGTGAACCACCATCAATCTCAATGTTTTTCCTACCCTCATTTGAGTATTCAGGTTATGTTTCCAGAAACAAAACAAGACAGAAACATGGTGTGCTGGGTGATCAGAGTCTCAGAGACAAAGTATAGGGCTAGGGTACAGCTAGCTCAGTGGCTGAGTACCTGCCTGGCAGGCCTGAGGCCCTGGGTTCCACCTTTATCACCAAAGGAAGAAGAAAAGCATCTCCAGTGAGAATTAGCAGAGGCCTGGAAAAGGTAAGGCACTGCAGCCACAAGGTCCTGTCTAGGTTCACTGTGGGAATGGGACTGGTGAGACACGTAACTCAGAGCACAAGGAGTGCCTGACAAGGACAGGAAGAGAGCAATAAGAGTACCTTGGTGATGGAGAAGTCCAGGCGGACATAGATGATGACGGTAAAAAACAGGATGTAGAAGGCAGCCACCACCAGCAGAGGCTCCTGCAGCATGAGTACCTTGTTGAAGGTATAGTGCACCTGGGGGAGAACAGGAGAAAGACATAAGGGTAGCTAAGGTTCAGACAATACTGGACCATAGGAAAGACAAGCTCAAGTCCATAGCCCAAGGCCACTGCCTATGGACGCTCCAACAGCAAACAGCAGAGCCACTCACCACGATGTCCTGAATGTGCTGCTCAACCAGATTTTTCTTGTAGGCAACAATTACAGGGCGGCCAAATGTGTCCAGGTAAGTGTAGTGCAGCTCATCTGGGGCACGACTAATATCATAAGGACTGTCCACCTGGATGTTCCTGGAGCACACAGAACACAGCACATCCTCAAACAAACCATACCAACAGATGAAGGTGTGGACTGTAGAACTCTAAGACTAAGGACCATCAAGATGCTAAGTTCATACCCATTTACCCTGTCCACTTCTAGTGGCAAGAAATGCCCTTCTCCAGCTACTGATCCACTACCAGAAAACTGAAGATCAGACAGTGCTCCTGCTAAAGTAAGGATAGTCCCTCTTCAGTGCTCATAGGATGCGTTCACACAGTGAACACAGCTTCCCAGTACTGTCCACCCAGGGAGGCTCTCAGGGACTTGCGTGCCTAAGAGTTACTCCTAACGCTTCCACTTCACATGAAGCACAGCCTCTTTCAGCAAAAAGGCACATATACTACTTTTGGCCCAGGCCTATATAGGAATTGTCCCCAAAGGGACAGTTTAGCTTGGGGGAAGGACCCCCCTACCCCATGGAACAATCAAGACACACATTATCCTGGTGATCAGAGTAGGTATATGAACCAACAGAGACCATACAGATACTGTGATAAGAATCTAGAGCAAGTGACAGAAAACTATAAGGTGTTTCCACTCATGCTAAGAAGAGGTGCCCAATGAGTGCCCACCTGCTCCCATCAAACAGGCACCAAGCTGGTGCCATGGCTTCTTCCTCAAGTGAGTGGTTTCTTCTTTATACCTCCCAGCAGTACTGGGAACTGAATCCAGAGCATCATGCATGCTAGGCAATATACTACTGAGCTACAGTCCCAGCCCTTGCTCCTTCCTTCCTAGTATCTTGCTCTCAACTTAAGCTCTCATTTTATAAGACAACTCTTATTCATCCAAACTGCTCAAAGTGACCAAAGAACATTCCTCCTGTTACCAGAGACCCAAGGCAGGTTCAGGACCAAACGGAGCCACAGATTCATCACACTTTCACTTTTGATACAGCACAAGATCTCCCTGACTGTCTTTTTTTTCTGAGACAGATACTTGCTACATATAGGACAGGCTGGCCTCAAACTCGAGTTCCTCTAGACTCACCCTCCCAAGTGCTGGGACTGCAGGTATGCACCACAAAAGCTGGTTTGTCTTCATGTTCTTTCCTGCTGTACTCACCCCTCTAGATTCAAGCCATCATTCTGGCTTACTGAGGCAACTCTGGATTTTGCTCCATGCATGTGAAGGCACAATGTTTTTGGGAGATTTCATAAATAAACACTGTGCCCTCCTCTGAATCTAATTTCCTTCCTAGCTTTGGTCAAAAGGTTCCATAAAGGGGCTGGAAAGATGGCTCAGCAGTTAGGAGCACTGGTTGCTCTTGCAAAGGACCCAGGTTCAGTTCCTAGCACCTACATGGCAGCTAACAACTGTCTATTATAACTCCAGTTGCAGGGTTTCTGCTGTCCTATTCTGCCCCTTGTGGGCACTGTATGCTCATGGTGCACTTACATACACGCAGGCAAAACACTCATATGCATAAAAAATTAAAGAAGGTTCCATAGAAATAGGTTTCTCAGTCAAAGCTATTTAATGAGTACCTATGCCATACCCCCCAGAATACAGGTCTCTCGAGACACCAAGAAAGTACTACCTGAGAAAGGTGGTATAGAGGAAAGGAATGGTCACTTACTTAGCCCCCTCCGGCAAGATGATCTTCACTGTCAGAGAATCTATCACTTGCTCATCAAACACATGGTCCACAAACCTCATCTTCAGTGCATACTGGTCACCTGAGGATCAGCAAGTACAGGCAGTGATATGAACAGAAAATGGAACACCAGAAAGGAAATTATAGGAGATAACCTTCTCCTCTTACACAGAAAGGAGAGTGGTTATCCATAGCTCATGGGCCAGATGCTGGGAAGAGGCTGTGGTGGCAGTACAGGTTTTGGATCTTCTCCAATTCCCACAGAAAGTCAGAACTGACATAACATTAATAACTCATGGACCACTCAAAAGTTTAAAAAAAAAATTTTTTTTTAATTGGAAGCTGGAGAGATGGCTCAGTGGTTAAGAGCACTAATTACTCTTGCAGAGGACCTGGGTTCTATTCCCAGCACCTGCATGGCAGCTAACAACTGTCCATAACTCCAGTTCCAGGAGATCCAACGCCCTCTTCTGACCTCTGCAAGCACTGCACAACACAGGTGCTTTGACATGCATGCAGGCAATATATTCATACACATAAAATAAGAAAAAAATAATAAAATATAAAATGGACATGGTGGTGTAGGTCTTTAATCCTAGCACTCAGGAGGCAGCGGCAAGTGGATCTCTGTGAGAGCAAAACTAGTCTGGGCTACATAGTGATTTCCAGGTCAGCTGGGGCTATATGGGAGACCCTGTCTCAAAAAACCACCACCATGGTTGTACAGCACTATCCTTCAAGCACAACCAACTTTCTGAGTTCAGCTGTGCCTAGTTACAAAAGATTATCACAGCTGAGCTTACTGACTGTTGATGTTCCCTCACAGGAGGGGATGAGAGGGTCACGAGACCCTCACCTGAGTATCCAGCCACAGCTGTATGCAACTGTGTGCCATTCTGCCCTAACTGCACATGGCCTCAGAGGTCTCAGGGAGGGACAACAGTATACAGACTGGAAAAGCCATCATCCATGCTGAATGAAGACTTTCCAGCACTGATTGCTGCTTTTGGGGGTCACCTAGACACTGTAAGCCCAATCAAACTTTGGTTTGTCACTGGGACCTTATGGGCTGCCTAGCCCCTTACCCTCCCCAGGGCAAAAATTTTCACAGCATACCTATAGCCACAAGACCCTTTCAGAGTGGCAGTGTCTATAAGGGAGAAAAAAGAGGTAAGCTACATAGTGACTGATGGGCTCAAGGAAAGAAGAGCCACAAAACACATCAGTCAGAGCAGCCAGCTCCAGAAAGCAGAGCAGGTCAGCACAAGAGCAACTGAAATCCAAGAGTCATGTCCCTGGCTCAATAGGAAAGATAGGTCTGCAGTACAGACCCTGAGTCCTAGCTGTCTATGCCCTCAGAACTTTGAAAGGCCACCAGAACAGCCCTATAGAAAAAGAATAAAAAGTGTTTAACATGGAAACATGAAGTCAGTGTGTTCCTTTTTTTTCTGTCCCTAGCAGTAATGGGGATTGGGGACTGAACCCAAGGCCTTAGGCATGCTAGGCAAGTGCTCTGCCACTGAAGTATAGGCCCAGGGGCAAGGAAAGCTCAGAAGACAAGCACATGTCACTGGATACCACACTAAAGCAAGACAGAACTAAGCCAATACAGGAGCTACCATAACCAATTCTACTTCAAGTTCACATCAGAAACAGCAAAAAACAAAACGAACAAACAAAAAAAAAAGGTAAGGATAAGGGCTAGTGAGACGACTCAGGGGCAGGTCACATGCCACCAAACCTGATGACCTCAGTTCAAACCCTGGGACCATCACAGAAGGAGAGAATTGACTCTACAAGCTAAGTATGCATATGCACAGCATGTATGCACCCAGACAAATTTGTACACACATGCATACACAATAAATGAACAAATAAGAAAGGAAGGAAGAAGCCGGGCATGGTGGCGAAACCTTTAATCCCAGCACTTGGGAGGCAAAGGCAGGCAGATCTTTATGAGTTCAAGGTTAGCCTGGTCTACATAGTGAATTTCAGCTGGGGCTACAGGGAGACCCTGCCTCAAAAAGACCCCTCCTCACACACCCTGCCCCAAAAAGGGAAGGCAGTCAAATGTGTCTAATTCTAGCACTTAGGAGGCTAAGGCAAGAGGATCAAATTCCAGGCCTATCTGGAATACTATCTTAAAAAACAAAAACAGTGTGTCTGGAGGAGGGAGTTGCGAGATAAAACAGTGACTAGTCATAGACTGCTGTAATCCTGTCATCCCCTGTGCCCTTCAGAACCAAGATTTTCCCAAGGAATTAAGACACATGAAATATAAAAACAAAATGCCATTGTAAATGCTTATTTTTACATATATGTAAAATATATACTGGGGGCTGGAGAAGTGGCTCAGAAGTTAAAAGAGTACTGGCTGCTCTTGCAGAGGACCCAGGTTCCATTCCCAGTTACATGGCAGTTAACAACTTTTAACTCCAGTTCCAGGGGATCTGACCCCATCTTCTGACCTTTGCAGGCACTACACAACATGGGTGCACTTACATACATACAGGTAATACACTCATACACATAAAATAAAAAAATAATAAATAAATAAAATGTATACTGAGCTCCATGCCTGAAAGGCCTAGAAATTGACTACCTCCAAGCAATGAACATCCCTAGTTCTAATATGGACTTAAAATACCATTTTCACTAAAATAAATTAAGCTTTCTTGGAGAAATGGCTGATATGAGGTCTGTAACAGAATTTAAGTAGCTCTGTTTGCTAACAAAACTGGGGAATGAATTGATACTGTACTGTGTGAACTGATACCATGTGTGGGCATTACTTTTACAACAGTCATTTGTACCAATCCATGAAAAGCTATTCCTGGTATCTAGCCTTCCTAAGAATGAGAAAACAATTTTCTCTGTACAGACAAAGCACTTTGAGAGAAAGAGAGGAGGGGAGGGATTTAAGGAAACTGCAAGAAGTTAAAGAAAAAGCTGCCCTTGCTATTCTACTAATGCACAAACTACTCACCCAAATTATAGAGGTATTCATAGCTTGGGAGGTTGTAGCCAACGATATAGTGTGTCTTCCAACCGCCAAAGAGAGGAAACCGAGGCCGGATTTCCATTTCCACAGAGTCATCCAAAATAAGGAGGTGGCTGGTGGAAACATTGCCAATTTCATCCCGGTAGTACACATCCTGGGCAGCAGCAGGGAGGATGGTCTGCAAGAGAGTGGACATGCCTTCTAGAAATTCCAGGGACCTCTGTAAAGGACAGGACCTTGGATGCAAAAAAGTCTACATCAAGGTCTTAAACACTACCCAACTAAAACACACCCCAGACTGTAAACCTTCAAAATTCTTTCTTCCAAGGTTTCAAAACTTCTAGAAAACACATCTACTTCACAATCAAGGTTGCTAAGTAGACAAAATCGTCTAAACAAGAAATAAGGTATTTGCAAATATCTTTGTGAATACTAAGTTATGCAAAGAAGGAAACTAAAGATAGAAAAATACATCAAACTGCTAGTGGGAGTTCCTGGAAGAGACTTTTGGCTTCTCCACCCAACATTCTTTGTAACAACCTCCAGGATGACAAGAGGGGAGAGGGAATAGAATAGCTTTGTTAACCTAGTGAACGCTTCTAAAATATGTAAATACATGAAAATATAAGATTGTACTTACAAAACAAACACATCTTCAGTCTTTTTTTTTTTTTTTTTTTTGGTGTTTTTGAGACAGGGTCTCTCTGTAGCCCTAGCTGTCCTGGAACTCACTATGTAGACCAGGCTGGCCTTGAACTCACAGACATCTGCCTACTTCTGCCTCCCGAGTGCTGGGATTAAAGGCATGCACAACCACGCCCGGCTTCAGTCTCTTTTTTATAGCATAAGGTGATGATTCTGAGAAGTCCACACCATGCCTCTCAGTGTATCTTTCCAAGCATCCCTTTCATTTCCTTAGCCTTTATGCTTAAAATCTATATTAAAACACGTCTTTTAGGCCAGGCAGAGTAGAAGGTAGAGGCAGGTAGATCTCTGTGAGACGGAGGCCAACCTGGCCTATATAGTAAGTTCTAGGTCAGGTGTGACCACAGGACCACAGGGAGAAACCTCTCCTCCCCAAAAAAAGGTCTTAGGATCAGAGATGGCTCAGTGAGTAAAAACACTTGTCTCACAAGCCTAGCAACCTGAATTTGATCCTCAGAACTCACATAAAAGTGGAAATAAAGAAATGACTCCACAAAGTTGTCCTCTGACTTATACACAGTGGCACATACACCCACATATATACATCCCAATAATAATAAGTAAATAAAGTTTTTAATCTTTAACAAACTTCAACTCTGCTTCATGAAATACCAAACAAAAACAGCCTAAGTCTTGGTAGTACACCTCTGTACGTGAGCGACACAGGTAGGACCAGAACACAAGGTAACTTTTGGATACATAGCAAATTTGACAAGAAACTATCTTTAAAAACAAACAAGAGAGCTGGAGCACTGCATCAGCCATTAAGAGAGCTTGCTGCAAGGTTGGAGAGATGGCTCAGCAGTTAACAGTGTGTGCTGTTTCTGCAGAGAGCCCGAGTTCAATTCTCAACACCCATGTCAGGCACCCTCACACATAGCATATTTCTCTTTCTTTGTCTCTCCCCCACCCCCCAAATAAATCTTAGAAAGAAAAAAAGTGCTTTGCAGGGCTGGAGAGATAGCTCAGCAGTTAAGAACACTGATTGTTCTTGCAGAAGACCCAGGTTCAAATCCCAGCACCCACATGGCAGCTAACAACTGTCCGTAACTCCAGTCCCAGGGAATCTGACAGTCTCTTCTGTTCTCCATGGGCATTGCAAGACACAGGTGTATTTACCTACATGCAGGCAATACATGCATACTCATAAAACAAAAATAATAAATATTAAAAAAAAAAAGTGCTGACCAATCATGAAGGACCCGGGTTCTAACACCCATATAGGGTGGCTCTCAAATGCCTGTAACTCTAGCTCCAGAAGACCTAACACTCTCTTCTGGCCTCTTAAGGCAGATACACATACACATACACACACACAAACACACACACACACACACACACAAATTTAAAAATAAGAAGCCAAGTTGGGTGTGGTGGCTCACGCCTTTAATCCCAGCACTCAGGAAGCAGATGCAGGGGGATCTCTGTGAGTTCAAGGCCAGCCTAGTCTACAAAGCAAGTTCCAGGCCAGCTGGGGCTACAGGGAGATCCTGTCTCAAAAAGACAAAAACAAAAACAAAAAACCCCAAAAACCCCCAATAAGCCAAAAATATTAGTGTTTAGGTAGTGGTACTATGTTTTTCTTTACTCAAAATTTCTTAAAACAAAACAAAAATACTCTAAGGCCATACCCAGTGGCAAATGTCTATGCCCCAGCATTTAAGAGACTGAAGCAGAAGTATCTTAAGGTTCAAGGCCAATCTAAGCAACATAGGGAGTTTCAAACCAGCCTGTGCTGCATGGAGAAAAGAAAAGCTCTTAGATAAACAAAGGAACTTTTTTAAATTTAAAGATTCTTTTGAGTAACAGTGCCACTTAATATGACCATTAGTTAATCCCAAAGAACTGTCTATATTTGGCTAGTTTCAAAAAGTGAGGGAGCCAGGGTGCATCACCATACCTTTAATCCCAGTACTCTGGAGGCAGAGGCAGGCAGATCTCTGTGAGTTCAAGGCCAGCCTGGTCTCCATGGTGAATCCAGGACAGCTGGGGCTACAGGGAGAGACCCTGTCTCAAAAAGACCAAAAAAAAAAAAAAGTGAGAGAAAGGGACAAACTGATAGTTTTCCACAATGCCCAAGATGAATACTCTTACCTTAAAAGAGCGGATGGAAGAGATTCCACTGTCTGGCTGTCTCTGGTAATCATAGCGGGAGAAAGGTCCCTTCAGCACAGCGCCTGTGTGCTTCAAATCCACATTCTCTTCCACAGCAATATTACCCCAGTGAGAAACCTCAATGACCCGGGTCATACTGGTGATGGTTAGGAAAGGGCTGTTGTTCTCGTAGTGTACTTTAAAAGTATCCTAGACAGGAAGGAAACAAGCAGTTCAAACCTCTGCCACAACAGAGAAATCAACACTAATTTAAATCAAACTGACTAGAGTGAATCTATGGTCAACCACAGAATAAATACCATGTACCTAATATACAGAGGTTTTTTGGAGAAAGGGTTTGCTCTCAAACTTGTCACCTTCCTGCCTCAGACAGATCACCAAGAGTTCCAGGCCAACCTGGGAAACAGAATGAGGCTTTGTCTCAAAAAACCAATACGGAGGGGGCTAGAAAGATGGTTCAATGGTTAAGAGCAGTGACTGTTCTTGCAAAGAACTTAGGCTCAGTTCCCAGGTTTCACTTGGCAGTTAACAGACATCCCTAACTCCAGTTCCAGGGGATCTGGTGCCCTGTTCGGGTCTCTGCATGTATGTGATACACTTACATGCAGGCAAAATATTCATATACATAAAATAATAATTCTTTAAAAATGAGCTGGGCATGGAGCACATGCCTTTAACCCCAGCACTCAGGGAACAGGGGCAGGTGTATCTGAGATCGAGACCATCTACATAGTGAGTTCTAGGCCAGGTGGGGCTAAAGAGGTCCTGTCTCAAAAAAACCCAAAACAATAATAGTAACAGGGCTGAAGAGATGGCTCAGCTATAGGAAACCAGGATGCCAAGCCCTAGGGTGAGATGAGCCTAAAACCTTCATGTCCAGGCAACATTCTCAGCTAAAGGGAGGGGCACCTGAAAACAGTAGCTCCGATATTCCCTGTCTTGCAGAACACTGCAAGACTGGCAGGAGACAGTGACCTGGTCATAAGTGCAGGCTCCTTGCTCTGTGGTATAGTGTCTTGGTCAACACCCTTAGCTCATCTCCTTGTCCTGAACAAATAACTCAGCTATCCTTAGCTAAGAGATTATGCCAGGTTAAAGGTTTACTCCTGAGCTAAAAGCTAAAAGTTTACCATGCTTCTAATTCTAAGAAAGAAAACACTGTGGCCAATAAATTACCAGATGGGCATTGGTAACTATGAGTTAAAGCTTAAGCATCCTTCTGGCGCCAACTAACAGACTAAATGTCCTGTTTCTTTGTACCTTAAATCTTCGTATGTGACTGCCATATCCCACATGACTGCCAGTTCCTTGGGATGTATAAAAACCAACTGAACTTTGAAATAGATGGCTTGTTGAATAGACACACATCCCAGGGTCCAAGACTCTATCACTGATCAAGTCTCTCTGCCCCAAAGCCAGTAGTTCCCCCACAGAGCAAAGCAAACCTGAGCCCCGACACTCAGTGGTTAAGAACACTGACTGTTCTTGGGGCTGGAGAGATGGCTCAGCGGTTAAGAACACTGACTATTCTTGCAGAAGACCTGGGTTTGAATCCCAGCACCCACATGGCAGCTAACAACTGTCTGTAACTCCAGATCCAGGGGATCCAACAGCCTCTTCTGACCTCTGCAGGCATTGCACGACACAGGTGCACTTTACCAACATGCAGGCAATACATGCATATACATAAAATAAAAATAATAAAATATTTAAAAAAAAGAACACCATTCTGGCAGAAGACCCAGGTTTGAATCCCAGCACCCACATGGCAGCTAACAACTGTCCATAACTTCAGTTCCAGGGGATCCGACAGCCTCTTCTGTCCTCCGAGGGCATTGCAGGACATGGGTGTACTTACATACACGCAGGCAATACACGCATACACACAAAATAAAAATATTTTTTAAAATAATAACAACAATAATAAAAGGGCTGGAGAGATGGTTTAGCTGTTAAGAGCATTTGTTGCTCTTGCAGAAGATTCAGGTTAAGTTCCCAGCACCCACATGGTTCCAGGGGGGTCCACTGTCCTCTTCTAGCTTCTGTGGGTATTGCACACATGTGGTGCACATATAATACATGTAGGCAAAATACTCAACATATAAAATAAAAACAATAAATAGAAAAAAAAATTAAAATGAGCCCTGAGGTCTAGCAGTCTCCGTGGTTTTGCTCTAGATCCTAATCCTAAGTGACAACACTAGGTCTTCAGCATGTAGAAGTTCCGATTCCAAGTGTCTATATAATTAATTATTATCTCCCAATGAGGTCCAACAGAATTGATAGGTCCAACACCTATTCTTTCAGTAATGACTCAAGTTCTGTGCCAATTCTCACTGAGGTTAATGCTTTTAAAAAAAAATAATAATCAAGCTGGGTATGGTGGCGCATGCCTTTAATCCCAGCACTTGGGAGGCAGAGGTAGGTGGATCTCTGTGAGTTCAAGGCCAGCCTGGTCTACATAGTGAGTTCCAGGACAGCTGGGGCTACAGGGAGACCCTGTCTCAAAAAGACCAAAAAAAAAAAAAAAAAAAAAAAAAAATTCAAGGGGGGGGAGAGATGGCTCAGCAGTTAAGAACCCCAACTGCTCTTGCAGAGGACCCAGGTTCAGTTCCCAGCACCCACATGGCAGCTACAAACGGTCCTTAACTCCAGTTCCAAGGGGAATCTGAAGCCCTCTTCTGACCTCCGTAGCACTGCACGACACAGGTGCACTCACATATATGCAGGCAATACACTCATACACATAAAATAAAAATAATATTTTTTTTAATTAAAAAATAAAATAAAATCAAGGGGCTTGAGAGGCAGCTCAGGGGTTAAGAACACTTGTTCCAGAGGACCTGGGTTCCTAGCATCCACATGGCAGCTCTATGGTCTTCTTCTGGTCTTCCAGGGCACTAAACATATACCAGTAAACATACCAGAAATCAAAACACTTTTATAAATTAAATCATTTTTTTAAAACATCTCTCTGGCTAGGACTAGCAAGATGGCACTTGCCACCAAGCCTGACAATTTGAGTTTGATCCCTGGGACCTCCACGCTGGAAAAGAACTCACTCCCAAAGGCTGTCCCTTGGCCTCCACATGTGTGTGGTGACACCCATGCCATCACACACATGCACACAAAATAAATAAAATTTGTTTAAAAATCTCTCTGGGGTGGGGATATATACTGATCAGTCGTAGAATACTTGCTCAAACATACACAAGGCCCCATATTCAATCCCCAGTATGGGGAGGGGGGCCTTTGGTCACTGAGTAATTCCAATACCCTTTTATGAACATGCCCATAACTCTATAGAAAGGCAATATAAAACAAAAAATTGAGAAAAAAAAGTCTTTCCACAGTCCATAAACAGTAAGCAGAGATTTCATTAATGTTTATAAGCTCAATTTATTCTCTCATTCTGTGACTACATTTTTAAAGATTCCATTCAGAATCCTACTTAACAGCATTTAGCTCCAGTACCATAAGACTGGCAGCTTTATGTTGCTTCCATTATAGCATACAGACACACACACACACACATACAGAAGAGTTTTTTTTTAATGTCCCCCCTCCAAAACAGGATGTAGCCAGGCCTACCTCAAATACTATTAAATGCTTCTGCCTCCTTAGTGATGGTTTTACAACCGTCACCATGCCCTGCTTAAAAATGCTTTAAGTTGGGAATGAGGGCTCACACCTGTAAAATGTCAGCACTCTGGGGGGAGGCTGAGGCAGGACTGCTCCAATGTTCAAGGCCAACAGGGAGACAATGAGACAATATCAGAAAAAAAGATTTTTTTCTTATTTCATGTTTGATTTGAAATTTTTACTTCAGAAAATCTATTTCTGAGGTTACAGAGATAAAAACCCAAGTTTGGGTCCCAACACCCAAGTAAGGCAGCTTGCAAACACCTGTAACTCTAACTCCAGGGGATCTGACACCTCTAGCCCCTCTGAGTACCTCCACTCATGTACATATACCACACATATGCATAATTTTTTAAAATTTTGAAAATGTTATTTTTTCTGTACAAGTGTTTTGCCTGTATGTATTAAGTGCACCCTTGTTGTGCAATGCTCAGGGAGACCAGAAGAACTGGAGTTTCAGATGAGTTAACAGAACATGGAGTTAGTCACCATGTGGGTGCTGTGAACTAAATCCAGGTTCTCTGCAAGAGCAACCAGTACTCTTAACCATTAAGACCTCCCACCAGTCTCTTAAAAATACATGTATTTATCCAGGCGTGGTAATGCACACCTTTAATCCCAGCAGGCGGATCTCCATGAGTTCAAGGCCAGCCTGGTCTACATAGTTGAGTTCCAGGACAGCTGGGGCTACAGGGAGACCCTGTCTCAAAAAGAACAAAACAAAACAAAACGTATTTAAAGCTGGGCATTGGTGGCACATGCCTTTAATCCCAGTGCTTGTGAGTTCAAGGCCGGCCTGGTCTACATAGTGAGTTCCAGGCCAGCTGGGGCTACATGGAGAACCTGTCTCAAAAAGACCAAAAAAAAAAAAAAAAAAATGTATTTAAGTATAGCACATGTGTGCAGTGCCAATGGAGACCAGAAAAAGGCACTGAATCCCCCAAAACTGGAATTACAGACGGTTTTAAGCTGCCAGGTGAGTGCTCGGAATCAAACCTGGCTCCTCTTCAAGAGCAAAAATGTTCTTAACTGCTGAGACACTTCTGTAGCCCCAAAATGTGCATCTGGGATGAGGCAGGAGGACGGCCACAAATTCTGGCAAGCCTGGTGTATACAGCAAGTACTGGGCCAGCCAGGGCTACATTAAAGTCTGAGGACTCACATTCCATCACCAGAACCCACATAGTAGAAGGAAAGAAGTAACTCTGGGGGCTGGAGAGATGACTCAGCGGTTAAGAGCATTGATTGCTCTTGTAGAGGACCCGAGTTTGATTTCCAGCACCCACATGGTGACTAATAATCATCTGTAACTACAGTTCCAGGGGATCTGATGCCTCTTCTGACCTCCGCAGGCACTGCACAACACGGGTGCACCTACCTACAGGCAATACACTCATATACACAAAACAAAAATATTTTTTTTAAAGTGACTTTGGAAAGTTGTCCTCAGACTTCTACGCACATACACAAATAAAATTAATGCAATTTTTTAAAATGGTGCAGATAGCCAGGTGTGGAAGTGTATGTATGCCTTTAATCCCAGCACCTGGAAGGCAGAGGCAGGCAGGTCTTTATGAGTTCAAGGCCAGCCTCATCTACATAGTCAGTTCCAGGCCAGCTGGGGCTATTTTTTTTTTAAAAAAAAAAAAAAAAAAAAAAAAAAAAAAGAGGGAGGGGGCAGAGAGCTGAAGGAAACAAGAGAGAATTGGCATGGCAACTTAATACCATGGAAGCAAAATGGCAGGCAAACAGGACTTCATGATACCACTGTCTTTACTTTCACATATTTGAAATTTTCTTCAATACAATTTTAATCCTTAATTGCTCCCTCTTCTGCAAGTCCCAACCCCACAGCCTTCAGTCTTTGGAGTGCAGCTGCTAGCGCAGCCATCACAATTTCTCTTGAACCTCACTGCCCTGCTCAGAACACCTCACTTCCTTCTCCCATGATGCTCATCACCAGCCTTCATCTCAGCTCTCAGAGGAAATAAATGGGACTAAAAGTCTCTTCACAATAGGTTCAAAGAAATTTCAGATTTCCACCCACTCCAAGCCTCAACAAGAGAGTCTCTAAAACTTACCTGACTATAGGCAGTTACATCTTTGAAAGGCCCATAATCCAAGACATCCTCAGAGCGTGTGGGGTTCCCTAGCTTGGTGTAGCTCTCCACGTTTCGGGAGGCAAGTTTTACCCGCATGGTCTGGGTCTTTGTTGGATAGGGAGAGAAGAAATAATGGTTTCCCTCAAACACCACAAACTGTTTCTCTGACTGCGTTATCTGGGTTGGATATGGCTGAAGCACATGGGTGTAGACGGTTTCCACAACGACTGAGACCTTGGTCCCAGGATCAAGAGCAACTGGGAGCTTGACCGTGAAGAATCTTCCACTGAACGAAGAAAGAAGCAAGAGCATTAAGATTTAAAAAATTAAAAACAGCCGGGCGTTGGTGGTGCACGCCTTTAATCCCAAGCCTGGTTTAAATAGTGAGTTCGAAGCCAGCTGGGGGCTACAGGGAGGTCTCAAAAAAAACCCAACTAAAAAACAGAGCTAGCATTTCAAAGTCATAGTTAAATTCTATGGTCAAGATAAAAGCTACTATAATGTATCAATGTAAGCCCTTGAAAACAAATATCCAGATGTTCACCTCAGGTTTGCTTATAATTAGCAAGAATGTAAAAACTATCAGAGCCAGGTCTAGTAATACATACCTCTAATCCCAGCATTTGAGAGGTAGAAGCAAGAGGATCAAGAATTCAAGGCTATCCTTGGCTATAGAGTACTAGGTCAACCTAGGCTACATGAGACTATCTCAAAAAACAGTTGGGCGGTTGGGGAGACGATTTAGCAGTTAACAGGACTTGTTCTTGCAGAGGACCCAGGTTCAGTTCCTGCACCCATGTGGCAGCTCACAACCATCTGTTCCAAGGGTTTCAATGCTCTCTTCTAGCCTATGCAGGTACAAGGCATACACATGGTACACATACATACATGCAGGCAAAACACTCATAACACTTAAAATAAAAATGAATCTTTTTTTTAAAATGCTGGGGCTAGAGAGAGGGCTCAGCAATTAAGAACACAGGCTGCTCTGACAGACGACCTGGGTTGGGTTTCAGCACCCACATGGGAACTAAAAACCATCCATAACTCCAGTTAAAGGAGATCCAATGTCCCTGTCTGGCCTGTGTAGGCACTGCACAGACCTGATGCATGTGGATGCAGGCAAAACACTTACAAAAATAGAATAAATTTTTTAAAAATGCTTAGGGGGTCAACTAAGATGACCCAACAGGTAAACGTGCCTGTCACCAAGTCTGATTACCTGAGTTCAACTGCCAAGACCTACATGGTAGAAGGACAGCCATTCCTGCACATGTCTTCCACACAAAAGCTGTGGCACGCACACATGCACACACACACACAAATACAAATAAATAAAATGTATGTTTGTACATTAGCAAGGAAAGATGTCCACGTACAATTCAAATATATAGCCATCAGCTTGTAGATGACAGTGAGTCCACTTTGCCTTTTATTTTCATTTTCTGTGCTGCTGGAGAAGGAAACACGCTAGGCACACATTCACTGAGCAGCACCCAGCCCTGATTCCATCACCCAACACATTCACATACCACTGTGTAAGAAGGAAGGATGTCAGTAAAGGTTAAACAGAAATGCTAATGGTTACTGTCTTGGGGCAAAATAATTGTTCTCTAAATTGTTTTAAAATGAGCTTGCTACTCTCACAGCCAGACAAAAATGAAGCTAGTAGGGCTGGTGAGATGGCTCAGCAGGGAATGGAGCTTACCACTAAACCTTACAACCCAAGTTTGATTACTGGAACCAACATGTCTTCTGTTCACATGCATGCCTTGATGCACAAACATACATACACAACAAATCTAATAAAAATATCTTTTTAGGGAGCTGAAGAGATGGCTCCGCAGTTAACAGCACTGTGTTCTCTTGCAGAGGACCCAGGTTCAATTCCCAGCACCCACATGACAGCTAACTGTCCATCACTCCAGTTCCAGAAGAATCCGACGCCCTCTCCTGGTTTCCATGGGCACTGCACAACAAGTGCATTTACATACATGTAGGCAATATACATATAAGATAAAAATAATATTAATTTATTAAAATCTTTTAAAAAACTGAATTTACTAAGCAGGGCTTGGTGCTACATGCCTTTAATCCCAGCACATAGGAGGCATAAGGCAGGTGGATCTCTGAGTTCAAAACTAGCCTAGTCTACATAGTGAGTTCAAGGCCAGCCAGTGTTACACAGTGAGACACTGTCTCAAAAAAAATTAGTCACTAGCATTTTAAGGAAAACAGAGCCTCTAAACTATTAAAGTTTATAAAGCATTAAATATACAATGTGTCTGAATTTTCTAAGCCAAGAAACCAACTTTTGTTTGACCTAAAAGTCATTAGTAAAAATCTGAAGGCTTTTTACCAAGCTCCCATTGAACTTATCATCAAAAATTAGAACATGGACAACTTCCTGATCCACTAGTCCAGAACTCACAATACTGTACTTCATTTTCCCACATAAAGGTCACTACTGAAAACAGCACTCCAAACTCTCCATCTTCTCCCAGGACACTTGTAGCCCTTGCCAGTTCCACTGACATCCCACAGGCAATTCAACATACCCAGTACCATTCCCAACAGAAACGCCATCTGACTAATTCTAAGCTAGACAGACACCTCAGGAATTTTTCTGGTATCTTACTCTACACTGTCCCAGACAGCTGGTTAATACACCTTAGAAATGCCTCTCAGATAGTATTAGCTTACCTTTTCCCCTTAATTTTGGTTTCTCGTACTTCTAGATTATTCTCTTCCTCATCTTCTCCCTTTACCTGTAACAGAAAAGTAGTGTAGTTTATGCTTTTCTATGTCCTCAAGTTTGCAATTGAGTCAGCAATTAACCACTTTATAACATTTCCACTAAAGCAGTTTTTCAAATATTTAATTTTTTTTTTTTTTTTTGGTCTTTTTGAAACGGTCTCCCCGTAGCTCCAGCTGTCCTGGAACTCACTATGTAGACCAGGCTGGCCTTGAATTCAGAGATCCGCCTGCCTCTGCCTCCCGAGTGCTGGCATTAAAGGCATGTGCCACCACGCCCAGCTCAAATATTTAATTTTTATTATATGCGTGCATGCATTTATGTGTCTCTGTGATGTGTGTGGGTGCCACAAAACATATATGGAGGTCAGTGACAACTAGAACTCAGTTCTCTCCATCCACCCTGCTTCGGAGGCAGGGTCTCTTGCTGTTTCTGCATTCCAGGTATTTCAGCCTACCTGACTTGGAAGCTTCTAGGTGATTCTCTTGTCACCACTTCCCATCTCAAGATACACAGATGTGTACCACTGCATCAGGCTTTTTAGACAGACTCCAAGGATGGAACTCAAGTCGTCAGATCTGCACCCTAAGCACCTTTACTCACTGAGCCATCTCACAGGCCTAGAGATTTGGCTTTAGTAACTCTTTTTGTTTTGCTTTTGCAGTGCTAGGGATAGAACCCAGGACCCAGGAAAATACTCTACTATTGAGCCATCTATCAACCCCAATAATTTTTCTAAAAATCTGAAACACTGTCAAAGACTTCCTGATACACAGAAATAATTCTATTAACATTCTTTAAACATTTTCCTAAATGACCAAATACGTACAAAGATTATAGCTCCAAAATCACTTCCAAAAAGCTTCACTGGCTTCTTCTGAACATTTTCTTTTTTTTATTATTTATTTAATAACCACATAATTAGAAGGAGCATTTCATTACAACAGCATTGACATATTCAATAACAATTTCCAGAGCTAAGATGCATCGCTTTCAAAATTGGCTGTAAATGTTTAGGTTTACAGTTGAATTAATACAGTTATACAATATTGTATTCAGTATAAGCCCTGTAAGACATAAAATTAAATGAGGTTTTAACCTTTCAAAAAGATCTCCATTTCATTATTAAAATACAGTTTCATACAGAAAAATTCATTTTTAGTGCAATGACACTAAGATGCTTGTACATGCATTTCTAATCTCTATGTATCTGATTATTACTAGTCACAGTCGGTTGAACATTTTCTTTTTTATATTCAAATTATGTGTAAGGGGGCTGGAGAGATGGCTCAGTGGTTAAGAGCACTGGCTGCTCTTACAGAGGACCCAGGTTTGATTCCCAGTATGCACATGGCGGCTAACAACCGTCCATAACTCCAGTTCCAGGGGACTGAACACCCTCCTCTGACCTCTGTGGGAATTGCACAACATAGGTACACTTACCTACATCCAAGAAATATATTCATTAACACATAAAATAAAAATAAAAAATTACGTGTAAGTACATAATATGAAGTAACAAGTTCCATCCATGTTCATAACTGTTTCCACAAAAATGGTAGCATTATACATAGCAGATCAAGAAATATATGTCTAGGTAAGGTTTATCTAAGAACAATTGGTCTTTGCCCAAGATTTATCTACATGACACACAGTAATTAAAAGTATAAGACTGATGGAACTAACTTTCTTGGATGTTTAACAGACATAGTTTGAGGCCTATAATAATTTGGTCAGAGGGACATAAAGGACAGTTTTTGCTCCTTGCC